CCTCGTCAATGTTGTCAACAATGGCATCTTCCCATGTTGCCACAATAGTGCCAAAGAGTTCCCAGTTGGTGGTCATTCTGGGAGTTCTCTTTTTGAACTTTGCAGCCCTTCCTCCCCGCTCTGTGAAGTAGAATTTTGCACGAAGGAGACGGTGGTCCGATCCCGTTCGAAATTTTGGGACAACAGCGACATCAGTCAGGCAAAACCGTCGATTGAATATGATGTGGTCTATTTCGTTGTGGAATCGTCCACTGGGAGACTCCCATGTCCATCGTTTAGATTCTGCCTTCTGGAACTGTGAGTTACCATGAATGGTCTTGGTCGACATGATGAACTCAGACAGTCTCTCACCCTGTTTGTTTCATTCTAGGCCATGGGTCCCGATGTGAAGTTCTTCAGTTGATCTTCTCAGTCCTATTTTGGCATTAAAATCACCCACAATGATCTCGTAGAAGGTGTGGTCTTCTTTATAGAACTTCTCTAGCTCCATGTAGAACTTCTCGATTTCTCTTTCATCATAATGAGATGTTGGTGCGTAGACAACGAAGATAGAAACTGCAGGGTGTGAGTCACATCTATTCAAATGTACACATCCGATTTGGGTTGTTAGGCATTCAAATGAATCAATGCTCTTGGCCAAGTTTGTGTTGACAAGGACACCGACGCCTCCAACACATCTTTTATCACATGTTCCGAGGAACAATTCTTCTTCAGTGTTGAAAACGGCATGGTGAGATTCATGCCTTCTTGTCTCAGTCAGACCAATGATGTTATACTTGATCATTCGCGCTTGTACCATCAGGTCCTCGATGGATGCATCTGATGCTAGCGTAGGTGCATTTAAAGTACAGACGATCATTTTTGTCTGCCTTCATTGTGTCAGCCTAGGTCGGCCTTGAGATTTTGTCAGTCTCTCCTTTCTCATCCTTCTCAGTGCTGCCATGTCGGTGAAGCCTTCAGGGTCAGGTGAATGACACCAGTTGTAGTTACTGGTTTTGGCATATCGAATACAAAACGGATAGCTTGCCAGGCTCTTCCGTTTGGGCGGAATACTCTCGGTAGCTTGCCAGTCTTTCCGAGAGGGATAGAGGCTTTTGGGGCGACCTCTAATCACCCTTGTAGGTGTTGCCATATTTGAACCCTATCAAATACGGTACGACAATTCCGGAAGATGGGTATTTAGTGTCTTATGATGTGTCGCGTAGCCGTGAACCGGCTGCGCGGGTCCGGAAAGCGTCCTGGAGTGTGGCGACGGCTGGGTAGTGGAAGTAGTGTCGATAGTGGAAGTCTGCCAGTGGGGTATTTATCTGGGTAGGGTGGGTCTCCTGTGTGCAATTCGATCCCTGGGTGGTTGATGGAAGCAGACAGGGCAGGGTAGGGTGGGGCTCCTGATTAGAATCCCTTTGTCACCTGTGGTTGGTGGGAGCAAGCAGAGAAGCTCTGTCCCTGGGTCCACCGAGCCTGGAGTCCAAGGTCTCAGAGAGTTCCACTTATCTTGTTCTGTGGGTCTTCAGTCGTGCATGAGTCTTGGCTGGAGCTGCCACGCGGGTCCGGAAAGCGTCCTGGAGTGTGGCAACGGTTGGGTAGTGGAAGTAGTGTCGATCACATCCTCCAGAACGGCAATGGAGAAGATTATCCATGACTTCTACTGAAATCTCTTCGATAGCCATGTCCACTTGCTGACATACCAAATTCCACAGGATGGATATGTCGTTCCCAAAGTTCTCCCTTCCGAAATCCAACACGCCATTTCATCGGTAAAGAAACAAACAGCACCCGGCCCAGACAAGGTCAGACCTGAACACCTGAAGAACCTGCTGTCAGTACTCATCAATACACTGGCTCGGCTCTTCACTCGCTACCTGTCTGAATGCAAGGTTCCGTCCCAGTGGAAAACCAGCAGGACCGTACTACTGTTCAAGAAGGGAGACATCCATGACATTGGCAACTATCGCCCGATCTGCCTATTGTCTGTCATCTACAAGTTGTTCACTCGAGTCATCCTAAATAGGATTGGCAGAACACTAGATGAAGGACAGCCATGCGAGCAAGCCGGGTTCCGCGAAGGATTCAGCACCATCGACCATATCCACACAATAACCAAGCTCATTGAGGTTTCTCGGGAGTTCAAGATGCCGCTCTGTTTAACGTTCATTGATTTAAAGAAGGCCTTTGATTCTGTTGAGACAGAAGCGGTCATTGAAGCCCTAGCCAATCAGGGCATTCAAGCCCAATACATCAGGATCCTCCTTGAGCTGTATTGCGGATTCACTACCAGGATCTCACCATTCTACAAAGAAGTGATCGTTGATGTCAAGAGAGGGGTGCAGCAGGGTGATACCATTTCAACAAAACTCTTCAGTGCCACCCTTGAGAACCTCATGTGACGACTGGAATGGGAAGGAATGGGAGTGAAGATAGATGGTCGGCAACTACACCACCTCCGCTTTGCTGATGACATTGTTTTAATAACACCAAACATCAGCCAAGCGGCACAAATGCTGGCCGACTTTGACCGTGAATGTGGAAAGATAGGACTTCAGCTGAATCTTATGAAGACAATGTTTATGAGAAACAGCCTCGTTCCTGATGTCCCATTCGCTCTCAACAGAACGACCATCTCCGAATGCAACAGCTATGTGTACCTAGGTCGAGAGGTCAACATGACAAATGACCTGGCACCCGAGCTGCGCAGGAGGAAGAGAGCGGCTTGGAACGCCTTCAAGAACGTCGAAGAAATAGCTAAGAGGACGAAGAACCTCCGGCTCCAGGCACATCTCTTTGATTCCACTGTTCTTCCTGCATTAACATATGCCTCAGAGACCTGGGCCCTATGCAAACAAGATGAGAATGCTATTCAGGTCTTCCAAAGAAGAATAGAAAGAGCTATGCTCGGAATATCACGTTTCACTCAAATGAGAGAAAGAATCCGGAGTTCTGACATCCGTCGACGATCAAGAATCAGAGACGCAGTCTCATTTGCCAAGGTGTCGAAAATCAGATGGGCTGGTCACGTAATGAGATGTAAAGAGTACCGCTGGACTAGAGCTGTTACCGACTGGATTCCACGGGATGTCAAAAGACCGCGTGGCCGCCCACCTACCAGATGGTCAGACTTCTTCGTCAAGATCATGAATGATCGGTTTGAGGCCCTTCATGTTCCCGGAGCGAACAGATGCCATTAGGCTACACTAGCACGCGACAGGGACAAATGGAGACGTTACTGGCGCCCGCTTGAGCAAATCGACGACTAACGGGAAGTTAAGTGATTAAGTGATAAGTGATTGAGTGATGATAAGAGCAATCATTTTGGCTATCTTCTATTACCCCAAATGATTAATTAATGCCCTTCTTTTTCTGAATTGGTATTTAACTGGAATTTCTTTTCTGTCTTTTCCTTTTTTATTTTTTGGGTCCCAGAGATTAATTGCAGAGCCTCACATATACAAGGCAAGTATTTTACTGCTGAACCACACCCCTGCCCTAGAATTTAATTTAAATTTATCTTATTTTTATTTTTTTGCAGAAAAAGAAATTTATTAAAAGAATACCCCCTCGGACACACAGAAGAATCTTGGAACTGAGCGGTTTGCTGCATGTTGCCTCTGGACTTCACCAAACCAGTTTCACTGGGGTGACTCAGATGGGAGTAGGCCTCATTCCTCCACCTGCCCCTTAGGAATCCCCCAGAAACCAATGAAAAGCTCAGGTACGCGTGATCAGTGATGGCAAACACCAGGCCTCAAGGGATAGGGATGACCAATCCTTCTCATCTCCCCATCCCTATGGGACCCTGGAGCTGGGGTCAAGCCCATCCTACGGCTGCTATTTAAACTCCTTAATGCCCATGATCCAGAGATACACAAAAGAATCTTGGAACTGAACAGCTCACTGCAGAGATTTCTCCAGATTCTAATTATCTAAAATTTTAGAATTCCTGGACATCTTATGCTATTCATAACAAACAATACAAAATAAATTATTTAGCATCTGCCTTTTCAGCAGATTTGAGTAGTGGTGGGAAAATTCAAAATAATGGTAGGGGGAAAGGCAGTTCAGACAGAGAAGGGAGCACCAAATAAAGTGTGTTGGGAGAATCCTCCCAGGATGGGAGATGCATGCTGAAAGTAGACTATAGACCGAACATGATTGCCACCCAATGCCTCTTTTGCAAACCACAGCACCAAAAAGGAGAGAGAGAACAAAAAGGAATGCCCTGCCACAGAGGCAGGGTGGGATTGGGGGGAATGGGGGGGTGGGAGGGATACTGGGATCAGTGGTGGTGGAAAATGGGCACTGCAGGGATGGATACTCGATCGCTATATAATTGAAACCCAAGCACAAAAATTTGTAAGTCTACAACTGTACCTCATGGTGTTTCACTAATAAAAATTAAAAAAAAAAATTTCCAACGGACTGGGGAACTTGCCTTGGAAACAGGAACTCAGGGTGAGTGGCACAATCGAGACCCTGCCAGATGTTTAACTGGCACGGGGTGCTGACCTGACACCACCACCAAAAAATAATCATTCAAAAAGCATACCAGAGTACATTCTTTGCAGGTTAAGCCAACGTTTCAATTCTAGGCACCACCTCACATTGTCCAAGTATCTCCCAGCTGCTCTGTCCCCCTGCCAAGTGTGCACAGTTCCTGGTCATCACAGAAACAACAAAGAGGAGGAGAGAGATGCATTAAAAAATAAATAGGCACAGTGAAAGTTATTATATACTAATGCTGTGAAGGCACTAAAGCTCTCATTATATTAAAAAAGAAGAGAGTAGCAAGTATGAGAGAGCTGTTGAAGACACATTCCCACCTCGGCAAGGCTTTCTTATACCCGTAATCAGAAGTTCTGAATAAATATAGGAAGGGAGTAATTTTACATGCAACTTAATGCATGTCTTAAGTGACACCAAAGGTTTAGAGAAATAAGGTATTATTTGATACAAAGCCAAGAGAAACATCCAAGTCATAGCAGAAAGAAGCAACTTATCCTTAGAAAAACAAGGCTTAGGTCAAAACCTATATAAATCAAAATTCGCTAGCATGAATGTCAAGATTATGGGAGTATCTATTTTTTTGTATAACGTGTAATTATTTTGGAAATATCAGCATTAATTAAACCATTAAACTGATAAGAACAGATACTACACTTGATCTTAGCCAAAGCGATAGCACAGCGGGTAGGGCGTTTGCCTTGCACGCAGCCAACATGGCCGACCAGAGTTCGATTCCTCCGCCCCTCTCGGAGAGCCTGGCAAGCTACTGAGAGTATTCGATATGCCAGACACAGTAACAACAAAGTCTCCAATGGAGATGTTACTGGGCCCGCTCGAGCAAATCGATGATCAACGGGAGGGCCTTTTACTTTACTTATTAAACCATGAAACTAAAGCAATTTTTATTGTAGAATGAAAATATCAGAGAATCTGAGGATGGCCCCAGGCCAAAAAGCAGATGCTTTACAAGTCTTTAGCATGAGCCCCCCCCCCCCTTCCCCCCCCCCCCCCCCCCAGATAACGTGCAGGCACAGAGCATGAGAACCAGCAGCTCTGCTATTTGAACCTCAGCACTACCAGGACGTGTGGAGTCTCTAGTGTGTGGTACAGGGGGTGGGCAAATACCACTTCCAAAAAGTGTGCATGCAATCGAAATTAAAGCGTACAACCCCCAGGGACTAAGGAGTTGGCTCAAAGGGCGGATTGCATGTGGGCCAACGGTCAGTAGCCAGCACTATATATGGTCCCTAGAGCACCTCCAAGAGAGATTTCTGAGCATACAGCCAGGAGTAAGCCCTGAATACTGCTAAAAGATAGAGAGGCAGTGCCACGACAAGCTCAGTGAGGAACTTGGCCTGAGTAGGCCTAAGTTTTGGTTCCCTAAACTTTTGTTGCAGTTTCCCGAAATAAAGTGGTAAGGTCAGCAGAACAATTAATCAAACATGATGACAGATAGAAGATCTAATCTAATCAGACCATCTAATCTAAAAAGACACCACCATGCCCACCATGTAACCTCAGCCTCCACTCATGTAACTTCAGCCCCCACCCATTACAAGTTACCAAGTAATAGAACATCTCCTAGAACATTGCCAATGGAAAGTCCCCACTACGGAACTGCTATGTACAGTAGAAGATAAAAACTCTGCACTTTTGTATCTTGGGGCCACTAGCACCAATAACACCAGTGTGTTGGTGAGCCGGACAAAGGCCCTGGCTTAGGCTAGTCCTAGCTCGAGCTAGTCAAAAAGATCGTCTTGTGCCTGCACTGGAGTCAGCTCCTTGGTGGTCTTTTGGAAAGCTGATTCATGAGCTAACAGTGCCAAGTGTGGCCTGCAAACAACAACAAAATTAAATTCTCCCAAAATGTATTACTCCTATATGGATATTTTTTAAAAACTAGAACACGTTTCATTTATCTTATTATCAGGGACTGGAAGCTCAACTGAGGCACCACATTGTCCCTTAAGAGCCAATGGGAGCAATGCCCAATCAATGAGCCAGAGCCCAGAGTGTCAGATGTGACCCCAAAACCAAAGAGAGACAAAGAAAGAAAAAGAGAATCAAAGAATTGTAAGTAGAACCAGAGGCTAGCGCAGGTAGGGCACTAGCCTTGCTTGCAGCTGACCAAAGTTCAATCTCTGACACCACATACAGTCCCACAAGACCTGCCTGAGTGATCCCTGGGCCCAGAGCCATCACCGTGTACCAATGACTGTATCTCCCAAATAATAGTGAAATGTCACGACTCATTCACAGTGAAAGGTAAGGAGTCGTGGCATAGAGCCTGGAGAAATGGTTCCATGGTAGGGCACAGGCCTTGCTTTGCAAAGATAAACCTCAGGTTGAACAAGAGTGGGACCAGAGCAATAGTACACCTGGTAGGGGGTTTGCCTTGCACACATCTGACCTTGGTGTGATTCCAAGCATCCCATGTGGTCTCCCAAGCACCACCAGGATAGTTAAGGGGTTAAGATGCATGCCTTGCATGCAGCGGACCCTGATGTAGTTCTGGTACTGCATTTGGTATCCTGAACACAGCGCTAGGAATAGACCCTGAACCCCCTCCCCCCACACACACATACACACACACGGCTCGACACCTTAACCCTAAAGGAAAGGTAAAGATATATATTTCTATTGGATTGTATGAACCTCAAAGATTTCAAAATTCTTATGAGTTTGGGGGCGAGGGAAGGGGTGCTTGCTATACACAGTGGTGCTTAGGGCTCACTCCTGACACTGCTAGGGGACTGAACTAGAGTCGGCCACATGCAAAGCAAAGTTACCCTCATACTACCCTCATACCTCTCTCTGGCTCCAGGAGACTTCAGGTTTCCACTGGAATAAAAAGTCCATCATTTTTGGGGGGGGGTGTGGAAGAGGAACATGGAGGGATATCATTCCTTTTATTTATTCGAGTCTTCCATTTTTCCTTACATTTATGTCAAAAGTTGTTCTGTAGAAGTTAACACCATTTTAAAAATGTAGGGGCTGAAACAATCGTATAGTGGGTAGGGTGTTTACCTTGCACAAGGCAGACCTGGGTTCTATTCCTGGCACCCCATACGGTCCCTCAAGTCCCACCAGGAGTGATCCCTGAGTGCAGAGCCAGGGGTGAACCCTGGCTAACTGCCACACTGCCCAGTGTGGTCCAAAAACCAAAACAATAATAACAAGAACAAATCTAGTGCCATCTTCCTAACAAAATGCAGCAAAACCATTACTAACTTTTATCAAGGTTTTTTTCTGAGGCACCAAAATTTACAATATCAATAATGGCAAAACAAAAAAAAAAATAATGGCAGGGTTTCATGCGTAAACCCTTCCAACAGCACACCCTCTCCAGAAGAGTATCTGCTTCCCTCCACCATGTCCCAGAGCCCACACACTTCCTATTCCCCCAAACATCCCTCCCACCCTTGCAGTGATGTGCTTCATATTGAAGACCAGTTCTTAGTTTCTGTTGCCTTGGGGTATCTGTTGCTTCCTTACTATGTTCCTTTATAGGCTACATATGAGGGGAACATTCTGTGTCTGTCCCTCTCCTAATGTCACTCAGCATACTTCCCAGATCCATCCATGTAGCAGTGAATTTTCTTATAGCCTAGTAGTATCCCATTGTTCTTTGACATTTGGGCTGTTTCAGAATTTATCCATTTTGAATAGTGCTGCAATGAACCTAGGAGTGCAAATGTCTTTTCTGATTAGGCATTTGCACTAAATGGGTGCCAACTTTGGCAAATTCTGAAACACGTTCAATAACAAAGATTGTAATTTTACACAGTACAAAAGTTAACTCAAGGTGCAGTCTTAGTAACTAAAAGTAACTCGTGAGTGGAAGTTGATTTTTTTTTATTTTAATGATCAAATACTCATCCCTCCACCAGTGTGAAAGCTGATGTTTTAATTTCACTGGGAATCAAATTCAGCTAATCTTGCAATAAAAGTCTCTTAAGGTCTCAACACTGCCCCCCAAATGGTTGGTTTTGGGGGCAGTTATAGCGACAGACCAACAGTTCATTAATTCTCTTTGCTATTTAAGCTACCCACACCCTCAAATTAATTTAGTGAGCAAAGGACTACAAATGACATTTCCCTCTATTCACAAAAACTCCATACTTTTATGTTCAGTAATTAATGGCAGGATTTAACCAGGAATGACATTGCAATATGGGGCAGTTGTTAGTTACCACAGCCATGTAATGAAGTGTCACAGGTTATCACAACAGGATATCTGTGTTAATAGACAGAGATAATGGGACAAAGTCAAGCTAGTTACCATTGTTTTGGTTTTCCATTTGGAGGGAAGTCTGTTAAAATAGACTTTTCAGTATCTGAACATGTTTCACTAACATGATGATTTTATTGTTGTGGGCCCTCTTTTCTTCCAATGATGGATAGGACAACCAAACATTAGAACACAACAATTCTAATTGAATACCAGCAGCATATTATATTTTATTGTATTTTTCATGACTTCTTTGTGTATATTCATTCTATTATAGAGAAGGAGGGTAATAGGTTCAACCCCTGGCATTCCATATGATCCCCCAACTACTGCCTGGGGTGATTCCTGAGTGCAGAGTGAAGAGTAAACCTCCAGCATTACCCATGTGGCTCAAAAACAAAACAAAAATAACAAAAGAATTTGAGTGGAACAATATATAGAAAAGCATTTTGTAAGTTCAGACCCAAAAGAAGGCTATAAGCCCTGAGTCTTGGGATAGCACAGTGTAGATATACAGTGAAAGGGTTTGACTAACTTTTCTAGTTGTCCTTACTCAGTCCAGAATAAAGCGGAAAGTTCCATTTGGTTTCCTAATAGAATGCGGGCACATCAGGGTTTTAGTGTGTCTGGTTGAAGGAATTGTTTTAACATTTATGGGAAGAATGAGAGAGAGAGAGAGAGAGAGAGAGAGAGAGAGAGAGAGAGAGAGACAGAGAGAAAGAGAGACAGAGAGAGGAGTGCCTGACACAGAAGCAGCCCCAATGGGGGGGTTTGAGGGTGAGGAAAAATGGGAAGATTGATGATGGGAAATGTACACTGCTACAGGATGGGTGTTGGGACATTATATGACTGAAACCCAATTATGAACAACTTTGTAACTGTGTATCTCACTGTGATTCAATTTTTTAGAATTAGTATTGAAAAGAACTAAAATATCAAATGAATGTGTATTTTAAAAAGCAAAAAAAACTTTTTCAAAGGCAGGTAAGGCACGAGATCCACGAGATCCAAAAATAAAATAAAATTTAATGCAATAATATGTAAAAAAAAGAAAAGAAAACAAAAAGCTGCACCCTTATCCAACAAGACATTTATCTCCTTCCCTTTGTTATCAGTGAGACCCAGAGATCGAGAGGAGAGACGGTCATTTCAGCACCTGTGGGTGATACACGCTCTGGCATCATCAATGCTGATGGTCCATGGCCAAGAGGAGGGAACCTGGGCAGAAACTTAGCCTCTGCCACCCCCGAGGGTCAAGTAAGATGGCAAAACTCCCGGAACAGGGTAAAGGAGTCCACATACCTGAAAGTTTGGGTCTCAGCTGAACAGGGTGGAGTCTCCAGCCTAACCCCCACGCTCCTTTCTCCACACTCTGGATGGAGCTGGACCAGGAGAGCATCCTCCAGAGCAGCAGCAGCAAATACGGTGAAGGACCTGTTGGCTTGCAGGAAAACAGC